CTCACTCACTCACTCACTCACCACGACTCGTGAGTGCGGATTCGCAAGCGGCTGCGCGCTGCATGGCATATGGAGCGTTGCACCTCGGACCCAGAGCGCTTCGATGAATCCCATGATTGCGGAACGCGCTACCGCGACACTTTGAGGGGCGGATCAGGGGGGGCCACTGTCCAAGCTGCTCAAGCCGGTTTCATGTAACAAAGTTACTCTGGTTACTCGCCCCAAGCGCCGGCTTGTTGGCTTCAATCGCGGGCTAGAGACTAGGAGAGGCGCATACATGCTGCCATGAGGCAGCAGCTGCGACAGTCAACTCGTGACTAATCCAGCCAAGAGCCTTGACTCAAAGACTCACAACTTTGACACCGACTACGTCGCAGGCCCAAGTCTTGCAAGTGTCACACGATCGACTCACACGTGAGCGGAAAAGAGCGAACGTAGCAACGTGTCGAAAGAGTCGCAATCAAGAACTGAGTTTGCGTTCCGACTCAAGAGTCGCGGTACCTGATCCACTCACCGTTCAAAGTCTTACCCCGGCCTTCCAAGCACGATCCACCCAACATTCGGGACAGCAGAGCAGTACGACGGCAATCCAGTCAAAGCCGTAGTGCTGCTGCGATCAATCTACCTGATTGCGCTTGTCCGCCATTCCATTTCAGGGCGACATTTAGATTCGAGGTGCGCGCTATAATAGGCTACACATTAGGCGGCACAGACGACGACGCATCTGTGCATGGCCATTCCATCAGCCAAAAAGGCTCTTGACGCCACATTCAAAGTTCAATGCAGCCTGCAAAGTGGTATGGCTACGCCCGTTAAAGTCAAATGGACGCTCATCAAACTCCGGGTACGTATAGTATGTATATTTCAGGCGGCCCATGCAAGTCAACCACTTTGACTCACGACGTTGAACGCAAATTCGGTCGTTGACGATGAGCGTCACGGAAGAAGAGGGTCGCTTCTTGATAGCTGTATAGGTGAGTATCAAGTCACACTCGCATGACACCCACGCATGTGGCGGTGTGGCATCAGATGCGTGTTGGGGCATTCAATTGCTAGTCATGACTTTTTGACTCTCAAAGTGCCTCTCTGACCTGGTCCACCTCAGACCTTTGACTTTGCATTGCCAGGCTGCTGCACATCGCTCCCGCCTCCTCTTAAGTCGAGCACATCCGTTCGCCTCACCTCCTTCCTGCCTTGCCGTCACCTCTTCCGTGTCGACCAAATTGCCCGGAAAGCGTGCAGCTCCGCCCGCTCCACCTTTACAGCACACTTAGAAGACCACACCGCCCTTCCTGTCCACGCCCACCCTCGCAACAGCATGGCAGATGCCCTGGATCCAGCAGGCGGCTCGGTGCCGCTGCTTGATGAGGAGCGAATCGAGTACATCGAAGCTTCTCGCCAAGAAATGGCGCTCAACTGCACCTTGACCGGCTTCCTCTTTGCCCTGCTCATCGTCTTTGTCCTCTTCAGCACCACCATCACCCGCAAGACTTTTCTCTTTTGGTGGCTCGTCGGATGCGCCATTGCGACCATCATCCAGGGCATCCTGATGGCTATTGTGAGCAGTGCTGAAGGCATTGTTCGCCATCAACGACCTCCAAAGTGTGTTGCAGTGGCTAATGTGAGATATTCCGACTTTGTTTCGTAGGAAGCAAATGTTCTTTTCCTTGCCACTCAGTCGCAGGAGTCCTTGTCCCTCCAAATGTGAGTGTGGGCCTCGCCGACATTTCTCAGTGTGCTTGCTCTGAGAGCGAAACATGGTCGGCTTCGAATCGTCTACAGCTCGACCATGATCCTCACCGATTGGCTACCGCTGTTCATCGACGCGAGTCTCATCGTGAGTCTTTGGCCTTTCAAACCCGGAATCACGTCATACGCGATCAAATTTGACGATCCGATCTCATCGCTCCAGTTCAAATTGCTTGCCTTCTACCCACGGTCGAGCGCCAGCAACAACAAGCGACTTGCCGTGGTGGCCTTTCCTGTCCTTGTCAAGATCCCACGTCTCATCTGCTTGATGTACGTCGTCATCACGTACTTTGCAAAACCCTCCATCTTCAAGTCTTATCTGTGAGTAGTCGGCAAAGGTGAAAAGTTCGCGTCAGAATCTGACTCTTGAAGACACCTCCATGCACTGCAGACTAGTCGTAGAGTGGAGTCTACAGCTCGCAGACATCACCTACTGCTGCGCTTTCCTGATATGGAAGCTGTCCAACCTTCGAGCTGCCTTCCACCGTCAGCATCCAAATTCGACAAACACAGCCGGTCTTCGCAACACGTCTCGCGTCAGATCTCAGTTGCAGTTCCTGATCGAGTCAATCTGCTGCGCATTCATGCTGCCATGCCTCACATGCGCTCTTCAGATTGGTCTGTACTACACGCATCCAGAAAGTTTCGGGCCCATCGTCAATTGTCACGTCTACCTCTCGTGCATCGGTGCGCTGCTCGCCACCGTCTGGTCCTCGATTCGCGATCAGACGAGTCGTCGTACGCTCTTTCTCAACGGATCGAGCAACGCCTCTTCGGAAAAGGGCAGCGGTGGAGGAGATCCTCTGCGTTCGCCAGGTTACAGACGTCAAGCAGAATCGCCAAGTAGAAGCGAGACGACTAGAACGTTGTTGGATCAAATCTTTTCCGATCCCATGCACGACATTGAGACGCAGCAGACTGAACCCATGGAAATGCTCATGACCAACCCGTCCGTCAATGAAGAGGCCGCCAGCTCCACCATGAAGCTAAGAAACGTCAGAAGGAACAGCGCTACGCCCAATGGCGCCCCCACTCAGCTCCGCAAGGTCGAACCTTACGAATCATCAAAGACGCTCGCGCGAACCTCGAGATCCAACTCGGTCGAGCGCAGCTCTAACGAGTAGATGGAAAATCGCACGACCACAAACACACCATGAAAGTCTTCTTTGACCCTGCCTTTCCGCCCCGCCCAAGACCATTTGTTGAGACTGGCCTCTTCTTATAGAAATTCTCGAGCTCAAGACCTCGCGTCCGTCGTTTCCCTTTACATGTTCGCGTCTCTTGAACGCGCCGCTCTTCTGTAAAGTCTCTCTGCCCATCACATCACGACCCGCAATCGATTGAGCAATGCGATGATATTTGCTTGACAAAAGATCTGAACGAGTCACGCCCAGAATTCTTAAACGAAAAAAAGTATCCTCGTTCCTCCTCGACCTTTCGCAAATCAAGGACTAGGCCAGCGTTGAGAAGATCGATCTCACTCGTGCAGCTCGACGTAGTTGGCTGGGAAGAGACCTGCCTGTCCCGTAGTCGAGCTGGTACCGCTCCACCACTCTTCGCTCTCAAAGACGATCCCAACAATCGTTTCCCCCTCCTGAAGCGTGAGCTCGTTCTCTTCGTCCGCTTCGTAGGCGTAGAGCGCCGTGGCTGTCGGACCAGCTGGCTCTTGAGCTGCCGCCGCTGGTGGAGCTGGGGGCGCGGGCGGTGCGGGCGGTGCGGGAGGCGCAGCAGGAATTGCAGCGACTGGCTCAGCTGCTGGTGGGGGCGGAGGAGGAGGAGGAGGGGGCGGCGGAGGCTTTGTTTGATGGAGTGAGATGCGTTTCCATGTCAGAGGTGCAACGAGCTGATGGAAATCGAGACGTCGATTGCGCTCACAGGTACCTCTTCCGCCGCCACAGGAGGGGCTGCAGGAGCCGCAGGCGGCTTCTCGCGAGGAGCAGACAAGTCAAAAGAGACGGTGTGAGCAAGACGTGCAAAGCTGGCACTGACGAGATACCTTACTCACAGCAGGAGGCGCAGGAGGTGGTGGGGGAGGTGGTGGCGCAGCCTCTTCTCCTGCCGCGCCATCGATAGCAGACTCCCCTTCAATCACCTCGACGTACGTCGCCGGGAACAGACCCTCGCTTCCATCCGGAGCAACACCGCTCCACCAACCCTCGTCCGGTTGTTGAATCGAAGTGATAGTATCGCCTTCTCTGAACGAGATTTCATTCTCTTCTGTCGCGTCGTAGCTGACGAGTGAATGCGACAATCCGGGCGTCAGACAGCTCACCCAGGACGCGCAGAAAACAACGCAAGCTAACACTCACTCGTAGACCGCGACAGCACGCAGACCAGCTGCTCCGCTTGCAGGTGCGGCAAGTGCCTCGGCAGTCTGCGGAGCCAACTTGGTGTCGTCTACTTGTTTCGCCAATTGAGCCACGTCGGGCTCGGCAGACGGTGGCGCAGGAGGGGCGGGAGACTATGTAGGGTGGGCGTTGAGAATGTATGGTAAGCATTTCAGATACTGGCTGGGACGGCTCACATACTTACAGCTGCAGGTGCCGGAGGAGCAGCTGGAGCCGGAGGAGGCACCACAGTCGCAGCTGCTCCAGCCAAACTTTTGACTCTCGCCTCTTCCTCCTCCCTCTCCTTCTTAGCAGCCTCTTGTCTCTGACTCCAGGTAAGTCCTCCGCTTGGCGCACGAGGTGCGGGTCCACCAGCTGCGGCTGGGGTCGAAGGTGAACTGCTAGCATTCGCGCCAGGATTCCATCTGTTGGCTCCCAGCTTGCCGGGCTTTCCGATTCGGACCGGCTCGTAGGCCGTTCCCACGGGACCTATGCGATCTTCTGCTGCAGGCTTCGCAGGCGCTTCTGGCGCGGCAGAGCGCACGATAGTCGCAGCAGGCTGCTACAATCAGAGCCGCCACGCAAATAGATTGACTCAGCATCACGGAACAATCGAAATGGGGAGCCAGGAAATCCGTCACTCACTTGGGCAGGAGCTGGTGGTACAGAACCGATAATTCCGCCAACTTTGGGAGCACCAAAGCCGCCAGTGGATGTCGCGGGAGCAGCAGGAGCTGGAGGTGCCGCAGGAGCAGCAGGAGCAGCAGGAGTGTGAGGCTGTGCCACTGCAGGTCTGGGGGCAGGGGGCGGAGCTGATGCGGTAGCAGCTGCATTTGCGCGGATGTTGGCTAGATCGTCCTTGCGCGAGGTGTATGCCGTGCCCTGGCCAGGCGAAGGAAGGAGTGATGTGAAGGGTGCAGAAGATGTGTCTTGAATTCAGAGCTTCGGACGACGCCAAGAAGCCAGTCAAAACTCACCACAGGCTCGATGCGCCCACCGCGCTGAGTGTTTGCAGCATCGCCAGCAGCCGAGTACTTGCTACCACCGCTGTCTGCCACCTTCTTCATGATGGCCTTTGCGTCCAGATCAGCTTCCGTCCTCGCATTGACACTGACATGATACCCTCTCAAGAACTTGGCAACGTCCGCAGAATGGCTCGGGAAGAGACCTTTGCGATTGACGGGCACGCCTTCTCCGCACCAGTTGATCAGGACGTACTTTGGAAGGTTGCTGTTGGGATCCACCACTCGTATGAGACCGTACATGATGGACCCGTCGCTAAAGTCGAACAAGGCATCGTCTAGACTACCAGAGGCTAGCGTGTCCACTTTGATGTCGTTGGATCCTCGCTCGTAGGAGAGGATGAGGTAGTCCTTGGAGCCGGATAGTACGGCGTCGTAGGCCGACTTGATGCCCGGAGCGGACAGGTTGACGCCCAACGACATTTCGGCTTGGGCGCGACCGGTAGCGCTATTGACCGTAATCGAGAGAGTTGGAATTTGTCTTGAGCGGTTGGTGCGACTTTGCTGATGACGATTCGGTGGTGGTCGTCAGGTCGGACGCGGTGGATGACAGCATGTGGGCACCGTGCAGCGAAGTTCAGGATCGACCGCGCGCCCACAGCATGCGGCTTGCTGAGCAGCAGCACGGACCATGCACCCGCCATCTTCGTGGCGGCCCGGCCGAAGACGCGCGACTCCTGATGCCGTGCCCCGACGCGTCGATTTGACAGCACAAACGAATCCTCGTCACCGCCTTTGGCCTGCTGCAGCTGCATGGAGGAACGCCGTTTGGTGGCGGTGCAGGCAGACCACTCAGACTGTGAGAAATGTGAATGTACTCGTCTTCACTCAATTCCATTCTCATCGTCTTCAAGCTGACGCTCAGCTTCGCTTTCGTAGACTTGCTTGGCGTGGCCATCTTATCATTGCTCTGCAAATATATCCAGCGGATACCGCAGCATCTGCACCTCGACTGCGCACACGACCATGCCGATCAAGCCGCAAGGCGGCGCGGCGACGCCAGCAGCATCTCAAGTAGCACTGATCTCACCACTAGGCAGCTCCATCTTCGGTCTGCATCTCCTCTTCACGTTTCCTCTGGGTCTTTTGAGTCTCTTTTCGCCGCTTTCCCTTCCTTTGCTAGAGCCGAGCAACTCTCTGCTCCTGCTCGTTCGTCTGTACGGCATCGCTCTCCTCTCGCTGGGTGTTCCCTTGCTTCTAGTCAGACCTCTGCCTGATCACCTGCCAGGCAAGAGGGCAGTCGTGCTGGGCATACTGGTCTACCATGGAGCAATCACTCCCATCATTTCTCAAGCTCCTAGAGTAGTTCCCGTCTCCTTCGGAAAGCTAGCAGAAACACTCTTGATCACTCCAGAGACCGCTCTGGCCGCCATACATGGGCTCTTGGCCATCGGCTGCCTCGCTTGGTGAGCTAGCTGTCCCTTTGCCCCGATCCTCAGACCATGAAGGCAACATCTGAATGCACACTCTTACTCACACTCGGCACAAAGGTGGCAAACAACTCTTCCACAAACAGTCGCACAGGGCAGCGCACGCAAGAGAGCCGCACCACGCTCCGAATGAGCAGATGGGCACTCATGCCGAAGAGCGCTAGGCTAGGAGCCGCAAGCAAAATAAGCCATGCGTTATGAGCAAGAAGCAGCGCAAAGGCGAGCGAAAGAATACAAAGCAATGGCTACACAGATGAGCCTGCTTGGGAGAAGAGGGGCTATTGGGTCGATGAGGACGAGAAGCGTGTCTGACGACACAGTAGCAGCAGCAGCAAGTAGTCACTGCAGAATGGTGAGCATAGAGCGGCCTTTCCGCTTGTGGAAAGGGACTGATGGACCAGAACGAAGACCACAAAAGCCTATATATGGCATGCATTCATCGTTCAAGCAGCCTTGCCCTTGGCTACCTCCTTGCTGGCCTTCTTGTTGCCCTTTCGG